CAGAATTCGTATTGGTTTGCCTTTTTCAACGCCCACATTTATAATGGAGTACGTACCACATATCAAAATAAATAAATAATAATAAATCCTTCTCGACTCCCTCCCTTCCTCCCCATCCAACCATTTGACCCCCATCCACCCCTCCCCAGTGATCTGAACTCTTTTTTACACTATCAGCATTTTAATTGGAACTCTTCTGCTGCTTGTGCTTCAGGCAGCCTGTGTGACAGCTGGAGCAGCCACGGCTACCTGCTGCCTGTTCTGGACACGGTGCTGGTGAGGAAGAGCTGGAGGAGGAGAGGCTTCGGCCTTGAGATGCTGGAGGATTTCTGCTCCTCGTTCTCTGCAGAGACGTTCTTGGGAGTCAGCTCTCCATTATCAGCCAGCATGGTGGCAGGTCAGCTAAGGTTCTCCTTTATCCTCCCTTATCCCCCCCACAAAGCCTATTTATTTGTTTATTTACCTTCCCATCCTCTTCCTTGTTATCTAGAGGAGAATTTTGTCAGATGATTTGCCATATTTGGCAGAAGAATGCACATTTTCTGTCACTGGCTGTCAGTGTTACGTATTCATGCCATATGGGAATAACTAAACTAAATTATTAGGAAATGTTCATACCCGCACGCACTCAGTAATGATGTATTTATGTTTCCCGGCAGATCAAACACCTAAAAGTCATGACACATCCAAAATCAAGTAATTTTGTCATGCTGTTGCATTTTAATCTCAATTCCCAAACTTTCCCACAATTCCTACAGAGATCCCAGGTACTGGCTATCTGAAAGCTTAAGTTAGATTTTTAAGAAGCAGCACAGATGATTGCTCAACCTCTTCTTTCTTTTTTAAATGAGCTCACTCTATAGCAACCCGTTACCAGGCTGTGTGTTTGCATCTCCTGTGTGTTCAGTGTGCAGGAGGTTCCTGCAGCAGCACGAGGAACATCGGGAACGTCTGTATGAGGTGGAGGCTCCAGGGGGCTGGACTCAACGACGAAACATCTGGCTCAACATCCAGCTCGGCCGCTACACTCTCGGTACAGATTATGTGTTCAACTTTTATGTGTTTAGATGTGTAAAAGAATTTCACATTTTAGATATCATACTACAAAAGATAGTAGATTCCAGTGTTTTTTGAGCTTATCTACATTTAAGTGTAACCCTCACTTTTATGTGGCCTCGTGTCTTTCTAGGTATTAATAAGGAGAGCAGTCCAACATCAGAAGAGACACAGAGTAATGAAGGGGATGGTTCCTCTCAGAAGGTGAGGATCTCTCTTCTCATGGTGAAAGAATCCCTCCAATCCCACTTGTAAATTTCTTATTGAATTTTATCTTGTGTATAATATGTGTTAAGGTTATCATGTTTTATTATCTTACAACATCATATCCTAGTGGATTTAATTTGGCTTGTTGTTCACACAGATCAGCAGAAAAATACTGAAAAGGGTTCTCTGCAAAGTCACCTAAATGTATTTAAACTAATGATTTATTTTATTATAAATGGTGTTATGAATTGGAGCTATACAATAAAACTGAATTAAATTGAATGAATCAATCTGAGTTTCAGACCGCTGCATTAGAGCGTAGTGTGGACAGTATCTGTTTACATTAATGCAGTTTCTGTTGAACCTGTCAGAAGTATCCCTTCAGCTTGGTTTTGAGGATGTACATGGTGTGGTCATTTATCAAATGTGTTTATGTGTATGTTGTTGTCAGGGGGTATAGCTCAGTGGATATTTTGATATGTGGTATGTACTCCAAAAAATACAGAGTACTTCACTGGGGGTATAGCTCAGTGGTAGAGCATTTGACTGCAGATCAAGAGGTCCCCGGTTCAAATCCGAGTGCCCCCTGTTTAGCTTCAGTTTGACACAACTGTGGTTCAGTAGCTGGAGTTCATTGCTCAGAAACTGCATGATGTGCTACTAAATACCAGCTTCACAAAAGTAGAAAATTGGACTGCAGCATCAGCAGGACAGAAAGCTGTAGTCAAATTTTTAAGACAATCTTCAGACAATATACAGGAAGTCACACAAATGTTTCCATCATGTTAGATCACCTTTAGGCTGCCTGTTATATAATTAAACTTTGTTATTAATAGCCTCTCAAGATCTGTTTGTTAACATGGGATATGAGACAGCTACAATCTAGAGTTAAATATTAAAATCACACAGACAATTAGGAAAACATGGTCAGGCGACAACCAGGCATTTCCCATCATGCCTTAGGTCAAATGGTTGGATGGGGAGGAAGGGAGGGAGTCGAGAAGGATTTATTATTATTTAATTTTTATGATATGTGGTACGTACTCCATTATAAATGTGAATGTTGAGAAAGGCAAACCAATACGAATTCTGTTCACAAAAGAAGAAGGTAGCTGTCAGGGGGGTATAGCTCAGTGGTAGAGCATTTGACTGCAGATCAAGAGGTCCCCGGTTCAAATCCGAGTGCCCCCTGTTTAGTTCCAGTCTGACACAACTGTGGTTCAGTAGCTAGAAACACTATGTTTCTACAGTCAAACTAAACACCTGAATGAAAAACCCGCTGAATGGACAAAATCCAGCAGTCAGTCAGTCAGATGGTTTTACAACAGCCTTCAGAGAATATACACAGGCTACCTGTGGTTTGCAGACCATGTTCAGTTATATAATTAAACTTTGTTATTATTAATAGCCACTCAAGATCTGTTAACAGCAACAACCATCATGCCTTAGGTCTTGCAGTTGGCGGAGGGCAACTGTTCATATTAATGCAGTTTCTATTGAACCTTTCAGAAGTATCCATTCCATGCGGATGTCATTGGAAGTATGTCAGGGGGTATAGCTCAGTGGTAGAGCATTTGACTGCAGATCAAGAGGTCCCCGGTTCAAATCCGAGTGCCCCCTGTTTGTTTAGTCTTTGTTTGTTCTCACTCTCACTCAGCAGGTAAGCAGGTTATCCGTTAACCACAGGGTTGGCAGTATGACTCACTGGCTCCCCTGGTATATATGTACAGCACTGAATCCCAACTTGTTCCCTCAATCAGTCACTAGGTACATGTTTTATCTGACTGCTAAAAGACACTTTGGGAAATGTTGGAAAAATTTAAAGATGACAAAAACTGTAAATCTGAACTAGAGACTGACCTCTGAGTACAGTGGACTTTTTTCTGAACATAAGGAGCTCTACATTTTCTACAATTACTCAAGATCACAGGCAAACTCAAAGTTCAGTTTAATTATGTGTGATTTGGGGGATGTGAGTCATAACAGTTATAATGAAGATAATGAAATACCTATGTAGAAGTGTCATTATATTGCCTAAATGTCTCTGCTCTGTTTTTTTTGTAGATGAAGACTTACAATTGCAGACTGGACCTGACCTCATCCAGCACCTGTAATGGGAACATTCCACTGGCAACAGGCTCTTCTGAACAACAAATTAAACCTTGTGATGCAAGCCAAGGAGGAAGCTCCCCAAGCAGCGAGATCTACTCTGGAACAGGATGTAGCCCTGCAGCCCACGCCGAGGATCCAGACCCTGGACCTCCCACCAGACCACCACGGTCCCACGACACAGAACAAGCTCTGATATCCAAGCCCTCTCTATCTGCAAAGGCTCGCAGAGAAAAGCCAGAGGCAGAAGAAACACAAAGGAGAGCCAAACGAGTCAGGAGGACATGAAATCACGGACACAGATGCAGGCATTGTGCAACACCAGCCCTCAGGAATAACTGTTCATACAGATTAGGAGGATGCTATATCCACCTACACACTGGCCTTCATACTGTATTCCTGTTCTGAAGTTTACAGGCCTTTATAGGAATAAAGGAATAGTACAGCACCATACAAGTACTATCACTTTTAATTATTCTGGCCGACTAAACTACACCACTTCACTTCGCTGACAGCTCCGTTACTCTCCAGTTATCATTGTGTGGGCCGGACAACTTACACCTTTATCATTCCTTTAAGTACATTGAGTTTGGTGACCTCACATAATTCCCAGAATAGCTTTTAGAATTAGCCTTCTTCACTTCACAGATGAAGCAAGACATTATTGTCATATATAAATTAAATGTGCAGCATGGATTGATTATTTCTGCTTTAGACTTTAACCGTCATGAAACAATCAGAAAATAATGCTTTATTTATCTGATTCACTGCTTTGTTCTCGCTAACGCCGCTCCCGCTCTTCATTCACTCTCTCGCTCGCTTGACCACCACTGCTCCCTCTGTCTAGCTCATTGAGCCAGGCAGGAGGGGCCAACTTTGAATTGTGTGTTGAAACAGCAACCGGCAAATAGTTGGAAAGTAGCCCGGCATGTCTGTGTAACTGGATTTGAGTTTCTAATGACAAAGGTGGAAATATGGTTATTGAAATGTATCAACACATTATGGCAAATACACTTTTGCTCCTCAAACTCAGTGCCTGCCAGGGAAAAGAAAATTACGGAAAATGTTGGCAATGATATAATTACGCATAAAATGGTGAGTCAAAATTTTGAGATGTTTAATTAAGATAATGAGATTCAGTGTAGATTACACATTTGTCATTCTTACTGGCATGTAGTTTGATGACATAATGCCCAGCATAGCTCTGCAGTGTTACCCTGAGGTCAGCCACAATAACTGAAAGCACATGGGTGTGGGTTTGATTTTACAGTTTTTATTTTTAAAGTTTAAACATGTTGACTAACTGCCTCATAATCTGGACTTTAAAGGTAAAAATGTCGTCTTCCTATCTTTGTCATTCATAACTTTTGATTTATTTTCTTCCCTGAATGAAATATTACATTTTCCTCATCTCTTGCACAGCTGTCAGCCGCCGGTACGTGCCGTCTGAAAACCGAGCGCACCTCTCTCACGCGGCTTCACGGAACAGGAAGTCAGGAAACAGGAGAAATTTCTTGGAAGGGAAAAGTTACAAAAGAGTTTTATGAAAGATGAGCCGAATTTATCACAACACGTGTTTACAGAACAAACCTGTACACAATGAGAAGGTGGAGCGCGCGTGGGCTCCCACTACGTATGAAAGGTAGGGCTCTGAGATGAGTTCAGGCTCAGTCGGATACATTGCTTCCCTCGTTGTGTGGAACACCAACACTGCCGTTTACTTTAACCTAAATTAAGAGCAGGTACATCAAATGTACACACCTCACACATTATTTAGTTAAAAATAGTTAGTGGTTGTTCAAATGAACCCGCAGTCAGCATTTATTTTCAATAAAAGCGATAACTAATGGTGTATTGGTGTTATAGTCCCTGCTAGCTAACGCCCTCTTTAACAGTTCACGGGAGTTTAAACGTCTTTAAAAGAGTGAAACCGCTGAGCTTGTTTGTTTCTTGTTCAGTCTCACTGCAGTTCAGGCAGCATCTTGTGAGGTTCTGATTTCTATAGTTCATTTAACCTCAAAAGGAAAAAAAATGAGAACATTTTAAGTAAAACTAACTCAGTTTTGTAAGTTAAAAAGACATTCTTGAACAGGTAGCTTTAGTCATTTTAAGTGACACTTCATTATGTTTACAGTAAAAAACAAACTACCTAGTAAAAAAGTACTTAATCAGGAATGTTACTTCAACTTACTAAAACTAAACAAAGTTACTGTCAGTTTTTTATTAATTACTAATAAAAGCTGCTTCATCAAGATTTTTTTTTTAAACTTAAAAATGAAGTTTGTTACTTAAAATTTTTAGTGTAATCTGTTTCAACTATTTTGTTTAGTTAAAATAACTTATTGCATCCCAGTGTATGGTCATCATTATTGGTAAAATATTGAATACATAAATGCAAATGGAAACACAGTATAACCTCCTTAATATGTTTTTAAATGAATGTAGAAATGATTTATCATCCATAAAAATGTTCTATAAAGTGATCAGTCTCTTGGTGAAATATATAGAGTCATGTCCAAGTTTCTCTCATTTTAGGTTTTAGGTTTTGTCATATTGTTACCTCCCAAATATTAAGATGTTTTTATTTCCTTTACTTTTCTACCGCTTCTGTGTGTGTTTATGTATACACTAACTACAGTACAGTATATGACTGGAGATATATGTGTATATATTAGGGACGTAGCGATCAATAAGGCGTTACTGGTAATAATTAGGGCTGCACCATTAATCTCAATAAGGCCAAGTGCAACATCCACATCACAGAAGCTGCAGTGTTTTGGTAAACATAAAATATGTGACAAAACAGCATTGTCATTCTGTATCAGCATCATCCAGCGTAATGTTCAGTTTGCCATATCTGTCCGTCTGTTGAAAGGAGTTTGGTTTGTAGGTATCATTATCCAGGTCTCTATACGAGGGAGAGGATAGATTTTACAAGTAGAAGGGTGTGAATATTTGATATATTTGTCTTCCACACAGTGGCGAGGGGGTTCTTCTAGAGGGAAAGCTGCTGGATGTTTCCAGACATGCAATCAGTGACAACAGCAATCAAAAGGTACAGTAGAATGCCCTCCTCTCCATTCAGGAGACCAAATAGTTCATCTGCCTGCAAGTTTTCAGTTTTAAACTAAATGCAGACGCTCTTTCGTTCCCTTCTCTAAAGAAAAAGGGTTGTTTGGTCTTCCATGCTGTGAGTGTGTATGGGTCCCTTTGGTTTTGGGGACGATGAGCAACAATTGTTGAGAACCAGTGTGCATAACGAAGTCATTCACGCTTTCATTTGTACCTTTTTACACAACTCTTAAAAGTAAGGCCCTGTTTGAGAAAGCTGCCTCCGTCATTCATGTAAAAGTGTTTTTTAAAATGAGGATTTCCCCAGACCGTGTCTCGTCTTTCACCACCTCTGAGAACTCCTTATCAGTGTTAGCAGACTGAGCATAAACACAGACCGACCAAACACAACCACACTCTGTTTGTGTTTATTTATTTCTCTCTTCTTTCGCTGGCAGGTCCGTTACTATGTGCTGTACATCAAACCCAGCCGCATCCATCAGAGGAAGTTTGATGCCAGCGGGAAGGAGATCGAGCCAAACTTCAGTGACACCAAGAAGGTCAACACCGGCTTCCTCATGTCCTCCTACAGTGAGTGGAAAACAACAAACGTCTCAGTGGATGTTTGCATTTTCTGTTCTCCTCGCAAAACTTTCATTGTGTTCGGAGTGCAGAGTCAGGATGGGCAAGCGAGCGGCCATTAGACACGCGGTCAGGTCACAGTCTCTTCTGGCAGCGTGTGTTTGAGTCCCACTGTACCTGCACCCTTAAATCGTGCGTGTTGCTGTATTCGGTTGTGTTTTCTCACTTTGCAGCATTGTTTTCCTAAAGGCTGCACACCTGCTGTAAACTGTACATTGAGCCCAAACAGTGAACACAATAACTGCAGGAAGTTTGTTAGTTTTACGATTTGGATGAAGTTCTAGCAGATTATTTCCTGTGAAGGAGTTGTCCTTATATTTTTAGGAACTTTTTATACAATTCTGTCTGTTTTATGTATTTTTAACAACCATACACACTTAATAGGCTTCTTGTTTAACAAATTCAGTTTTTTTCCCTCATTGTTCTATCAGCTCTTTGGTTGTTTTAACTTCGTACTTTTCTAAAGCAGGACCAGCAGCACCAGTTTATCAGAGAGTAAAGGCTCTGTGAATATAGCTTGTGTTCACGTCTTCAGAGTTTAGATCTTACTTAATAGTCTAAACTTTAAAAATTCTTCACAGATGTGAACAAAATGCTGAAATATAGGCCTACTTTTTATTTGTGGCTTTCTTACACCCCTCAAAATCAAGAAACCATCACGAACACCTGTAAAGCTTTGGCAAAAATGATCATAACCCTAAATTCCTTCTAACTTCACTGGCTTAGGTGCATACTTTGTGTCCATACAGAGGTGGAAGCTAAAGGGGAGTCAGACCTTGTGTCTGAGGAGCAGCTGTCGCTGATGGTGAACAAAGCCGAGCTGGTGAAGATAACAGACAGGCACCGACCCAGCGGGACCTGGGCCTTCTGGTACCCGGAGTCAGAGATGGACAAAACAGAGCTGGAAACAGGACAGGACGTACGACTGAAGACCAGAGGAAACAGTCCTTTCATATGTGAGTCTGTATTACCACGCTGTTAGCTGCTAAGCCCAATCCACATATTTATCACTGAAAACAGAAAACAGTGCATCCAGTGTGTCGCATTAAGCCTAAAAAGGAAAGAATACACTGTAGTGTGAGCCCTGCTAAAGCTTCAGGCTATACATTTAAAGCTAGTAGTGTAAAGTGGATCTTTGTTAGGGGACACATGCAGTGCGAGGTTTGGTCAGCGCTCTTTAATTTGTTTTCTGACTACATAAGATAGGCCTGTTTTTCAAAGCCAGAGGGTCCCTTTGGTTTTCATGGTCTTCACATTGGTCCAGCCTGTCCCAGCGCCGACCTCCGTGGCAGTTGGGGGGTGAATGAAATTAAACTTGAATTTTGTTTTTCCGGTCTCTTTCAAAGTTTCATAAGTAACCTCAAGGGGAATGAACAGAGTTTGACCTTTCTCAGATTCAGAAGAGTCATCCAGCCCTTTGATATTCAATCAGCAGTTCTGAGTGGAGTGGAGTGCTTCGGCCTGTTCACAGCCTCTACTTTTACACATCTTCAGCCCAGATTTATTACGGCCGGATGAGCATGTTGACGTTTCCCGAGGAGAGTGAGAAAAGACACCGTTAATTAAAGAAATCAATTTTGGATTTTTTAATTTATTTTATCTTTTATTTGAATAGGGACACATAAGTACACTTTAAAAAATGTAACAAAAAAATTGTTGAAACTAATTACATTAAAAATGAACAGTAGAACTAACTCAATTTCAGTAAAACAACATTCTTCATCAAGTTGCTTTAGTATTTTAAGTGACACTGACTTCAGTTTGTATTTTTTATTTGTACTGTGGCAAAAGTAAAATATATAAATAAATAAGTAGTATTTAATCAGCAGTGTTTGTCAAAAATCTTTTGAGTTGAGGTAACTATTATAACCTGACAGTTGAACATTTGTGTTAATGTTCTATGTGTGTGTAACATGAATAAATGAACCTTGATTCTTTGAATTCTTTTTTCGTCATGAATATTTAATTTATATCTATGAACACCTTTAAGAAGGAGCTTGAGACCCTTCTGTTAGACCTCTCTTTGTTTAACTTTTATTGATTATAATACTTTATTCTTATATCTAGTTGTGTGTGTTTCATGCCTGTTGCTTTTTTCTGAAGGACGTTGTGGCGTCCCTTTCTGAACGTACTTTTGTGCTTTCAGTCTCCTTAGCCAAAGTGGACGGCGGCACGGTGACCAAGTGTAACTTTGCTGGAGATGAGAAGGCCGGCGCGTCGTGGACCGACAAGATTATGGCCAACAAAGCGGACGCGGCCGCTCAGAAGCAAGGAGGAGAAGGAGCGGGAGCAGAGGAGGATGAATGGGTGAGGAGGACACCTACAAAAACTAACCCGAACTCACATAAAGGGGCTGAATAAAATCTGCCGCAATTATTACCCCGGATTTATTCATGTAATGTTTGAGCTCCAGACTGACGAGGCAACAGGAAAGTATGATAGGCTGCTAAAGTTATTGCACGTTATGTAAATTTGCATTTTAAAAATATATATGGCCAGAGTAAGCGAACTCAACCTCTCTGTGCATGTGATACTTATAGCTATAAACTCTGATTTGACATAACAGGAAGTGTTACTGTTGTTCACAGTACACAAAGCAGATAAAGTCATAAACAAACCGAAACCAGAGGACGCTCACTTCTCCCATTTTGTTTCTCTTTCAGGAGGACTGAGGAAACCATCAGCCTGAAGAGTTGGCCCTGTTCCAGTCTCCAGGTTGAACTGCTTCAGCTTGGCTCCCGCCCTGTCTCTCTCTGTCTCTCTCTGTCTTTAGATTGGGCTCACTGGACATTTCACTAGGGTACTGAACCTCTTACATATGTGGTCTTGGGGCTGGAAAAAAAAAACCTTGCATCACTTCTGCGGTATGGGACTAGACTCTTCCACTATTATGGAGTGCATCTGGCTGCTGGCTGTGATGCGGACTGCGTCTTTGAAACTGCGCCCCTCTTCTTTAGACTTTGGACTAGATCCCTACGTTTACATGGCTTCCTTTTCAGTCTTTCTCGGCTCACTCTTCTGCTCTGTCTGTTTGTGTCCGAGTTTAATCCAGACTGTAAATGTGAGATTTTTATGGTATTAATTGACCCTTGCTAAGTCCCACCCCTTTTAGAACCTTGGCCTATGTTCTCCTTTCCTTAACTTAGATACATGCCGTGAGAGCTACAACACTCGCACTGCTTCGCCGCCAACCCAAGACACACGACACTTCTTTCCTCCTTAGCAAATTGATGCTAGAAGCGTAGTTACGACGGTTGGCGCTTCTCTGGCTAACGTTTGGCTTTAAGCTAGCACGTCCTAACGAATGTGGATTGCGTCAGCTTTCTTACTTTTTAATCCTCTTCAACAGATCGTGGGCCTGTTTGCTTGTACACACGCCTAACTGCCGCTCTCTTTCAACAATGACGATCCATCCGCTACGGCGCGTGAGACTCGATCGAAGTACAGGAAAGGGGAATGTTGACCGAGGCTTGTTCAACTGTTACTAGCACAGAGCAAGAAGCGTTGTGTTCCTTCAGTGTATGATAATGAAAGGAATGATGAAGATGGTTTGAAGATAAAATATCTATTGTTACATCCTAAGTACATATATATATATATATATATATATATATACCGGAATGTCACTTTTGCAATTTACCTGCTTCACCCTCCCCTCCCAAGGGTGAGGGAGAAACTGCAGTGGCTGCGAATTGTGCGAAAAACTCAACAGTCATTGGAGCACAG